ATGCATAGCCACTTTCCAAGCTCACTAGATTATAACTGTATTGATATCTCATTTCTTATAGAGGGCATTAACCAATATACTCATCAAAACATGTCTACATCTATATGCCACTGCAGTGTTTTATATTGTTGGGTATTTTTCAATCCTGCATTGACAGTATTTTTTAGAATTTTTTTATTCTATAACACGTATGAAATGAGTAAAATGATTTGATAAAAATTTGATGTTTTAATGTAACAATCATATCTTGTTTCAATTATTTGAAACAGTATTACTCAATGAAAGGCATAAGAAGTAACTGCACTAAAATGCATAATTTTTTCATTGACAACCTTATCAAATAATAACATTTTCAGCTCAGTTAGAAACTGAATTTAAGTCTTAAATATCCATTTTAAGTCAATATATTATTTCTTTTCTTCAAAAAGTACATGCTCGTAAGAGAATATTGTAGAAAATAAAATTATTTAAGAAGAGCACTATCATACATTTATGATTGAATATGATCTACTAATTGAGTCGACAAATAATTGTATCGTGAATATACTTCTCACGTGTTGAGAGAGTCTGTACACGGTAGAGCTAAGTATTAAATTATATTAATATCTTTATGCTGTATCAATTTATTCAATGTCGATTCAAGTTTTGATATATCTTGCACTAGCGTCATAGTTTAATTAGAAATTCTTTTCAAACAAAATAGGAAAGTCAAACTTCAATTATTATTATGCTTTTCAATTCGAGTCTTTTCATTGATAGAATAACACGATATATTCTTACTCACATACTATGATGTTTATTGCCTTTTTCGAATAGTTAGCAAAAAAAAACTTATTTCACAATACATAAGGTTAACTGATTATAATAAAATGAAAAAAATGTTAAATAATCGACGTTGTTTCTAAGCCATGGCTTTGGAATAAATATGCTATTGAAGTTGTTTATTGACCACCACGAAGACGAAGAACCAAGTGAAGTGTTGATTCTTTTTGAATGTTGTAATCTGATAATGTTCGACCATCTTCTAATTGTTT